TACATATATACTCTTTCTCTTCTTTCATCTTGAGGTAAATTTCAAGTTTCAAATTACTATTTTAATATTAAAAATTATGTAAGCAACAAATGAACCCTCAACCCCTTGACATATCATTTCTTGATATAGAAATGATCTTCGATTGCACTGTAAACAACAACTCGCAACGGAATGTTGACAGAGATGCCAACTGCTCCGGACACGTCAAAAAAATTAAAAAAGAACAGTAAAATAACTACAAACTAAATTTTGCAAATATTTGACTATTTTTACTTTCTTATTTAAAGGTATAGCATGATAGAACTACTANACATTTTTGGTTGAAGTTGTGGAAGTATTTTAATTCTTCTTTTTTGTATAATTAATATTTGTGGTTTTCCAGCATTTACTGCAGTTTTCCATTTTAAGCACCAGTCTTCTATTTCGATAGAACTACTATAAAGTGGTGAATTATATAAGCCTACGAATTATTTAGAAATAGTGGTGGATAAAAATCTACTAAATTGCATTTATTAAACCAAGAATCGCAATTGATGAACTACCACTTCAAAATATTTATTTGCTGTCTGGAGCAAGATGGCATCTCTGTGTTGAAGACGTCTGAGACACGCCAATTATTGTTTTGATATAAGAAACAAATGACGTCTCCCAGACGTTTTCGTATATCAAGGGGTTAAGTTAATTGGGTTTAAACGGTAAAATGTGACAGGAAAAATCAGCTGATGGTGTTAAGTCTCTAAAATAATAAAACCGAGTTTAAAACATTTCATTTCATCACATTCTCCGTGCGAACATTTATGAAAGAAAAAGTAATAAACGAACTGATGCCCTTCCGAACCTCAGAATAAAGCTATCAAAAAGTAGTTTTCAATAATTAATAGTTCAGTCTAGATTTATAAGTAAGTGCTCGATAATCTATGCCACACATTATTTATTTTCCTCGAAATAACAGGTATTGACCTCATCAAAAAATGACAACACTTGTTTCTGACAAAAAAAATTTCTCTTAAAGCCTTTGAACAATTTTCCGGTCATCAAGGTAGTTCTTTAAAAAAAATAATAAATAAATAAATTGATGGAGGCCAAATCAAAATCAACAGCCATTTAACTCGTAAAGCAAACCAATAAATCAAGAAAATTAATATTGTTTAGCGATAAGTAACCTTCGACCTAAAATATGGAGAGATGAAATGAGAAAAGCGGGTAATTTTAATTTCACTTTATCATCCAAGTAATCATAACTCGTGGAAATAAAGGAATGGGTCGTTTATCAAAGCGGTGACTAATTTGAGAATAACCTTCGATGCCATATAATTGCGCATTTTATACTGGATATATATCATAAAGAGATTTTGAATCATCTCTAAATATTTTTCTTTAAACGAACGTCAAAAACAAGTTATGGAACATGCAATGCATGAAAGGTTTTCAGTTTTAATTTATCATTTGATGTTGGCGGCACCCATGCTGTAAGTGCGAAAATAGCCAAGCCGAAAACTAAAACTATCAGCAGAAAGATTAAGAGGGCATAATTTATCATCTTTACACGCTGTTTTATCACCATCTTTTTTGTTGATTAAATAAACGTGTTTTACACATGGCTGGATTAACAAA